AACTTATACAAGCTCGATGTTTGAATTCGTATAAATAATTGTGGATAAACATAATCAAATAGATGATGAACATCTCATTTTAAAATATAAAAAATTAAAATATAATTAGAATAATTATCGAGTTCCAACAAAATAAATAATTATTATCTTTACAAAAAAATTATATTATTAAAACAAATATAAATTTATTTTGTTATTATACATAAATTAAATAAAAAATTTACACAAAAAAATGATGAATTTCAAATAGTGAATTTGATACTAATATCGATATATTTTTGTCAAATTTTTATGATATCTTCAAACATATATTTTATTCAAAAATAAAAACATCATCGCTTTATCAAAATCACATAAAGTCATATTATAACATCGACTGAGATAAATAATAAAATGAAATATTAAAATCATGATGTATCTCGCTGCATTGCGCGAATACGCTTCTAGTATATATATATATATACACAAAATCAGTTACTGTATGATTGTTAGTCTTGGTCCTCTTGGAGAATTGGTTAGATCCGCCTAATCAGTATTGTAATTCAATTGATCCAATCATCAATTAACTTCCAGAACTATTAAAAATAGAATAATAATAAACCATAAAATTGGTGTCTGATTTGGTTTTAACTTGGCTCCAAAGGTTAAAAGTGTCTGGAAGTCTCATGTTCAAATCCAAAAAGGCATATAAAATTTTGTGGCCACGAAGGTTCAAACATGGTTACCCCAAGCTACCTGCAAAGCAGGTAGTTAATTTGAAATTAGTTGGCTCGCATTGCGAGTTGGATATCCAGATATCCAGGTTAATAAAAAAAAATTAATAATATACGGGATTTTGTGAGATCCATTTTTATCCAAACACCATGATATATTGTCAAAACATCGCTACAACAAAAGTACGTTAGGATTAGGGGTGTTCGCGGTCCGGTTTGGACGGTTTAACCTCTCAAACCACAAACCAAACCGTAATGGCGGTTTATAAAATTTTCAAACCGAGCGGTTTGACATCAAGTGCCCAGACCGGTCAAACCAGACCAAGTAAAAGCGGTCTGGTCTGACCGATTTAGACGGTTTGGGCCTTTAATGGACTTTATATTAAACTTAA